CGGTCTATGTCTCTGCCCCGACCTGCCTCTTTCAAATAGAATGAAAATATATACAAAATTAAAAAAGAAGCATGAGGCAGGTGTTTAGACTAGCGCTTAGGATACTCTGGGATGCCCAAGCCCATATCTGCGAGCCTGGAGTCAAGTCCCGGCTCAGCTCCTGTTCCAGTGTCCTGCTGATGTGAGCCCCAGGAGGCAGCAGGCTCTGGGTTAAGCCGCTGTATCCCTGGCATCCACGTGAGAAACCCCAGGGCCGTTCGTGGCTCCTGGCTTCAGCATGGCCAAGCCTCAGCAGTTGCAGGCATTTGGGAAGTGAACCAGCAGGTGAGAGATTCCTCTGTCAACCTCTTCCCCTCTTTCCATGTTTAATGTACACATGTGTGTGTGCATATATATATATATATCTGTATATACATTTAGTAACGACTGGTTTACTATCCAGCAGCAGATGGCCTCTGAGCGCCACGTAGCAGGTCGGACACAGGTGTGCCTGACACAGCGCCCCCCCCGCTCCCCTGGCATCTGGGGTTGCAGCAGCTCTGCCAGCCCAGAGCACCTCTCCGTCGCCCACGGGTGCCACACACGCACTTTTCCACGGATGTCTTGGGAAGCCTCACTCTCGAGCACGTAGTGTGTAGGGCTGGAGCTGCTGAGCCACTCCTGCACCAAAGAGCTCGGGAAAAACCAAACACATCACAGAAATAAATTCAATGTAGTCTTTGAAAAACAGCATTTTTTTTTTTAGGATGGCAGCTAAAAAGGACTCCATTTTTGTTAGTAACGTTTTTGCCTTAAGACTGGAGATAGCCGGCGCCACGGCTCAATAGGCTAATCCTCCGCCTTGCGGCGCCGGCACACCGGGTTCTAGTCCCGGTCAGGGCGCTGGATTCTGCCCCGGTTGCCCCTCTTCCAGGCCAGCTCTCTGCTGTGGCCAGGGAGTGCAGTGGAGGATGGCCCAAGTGCTTGGGCCCTGCACCTCATGGGAGACCAGGATAAGTACCTGGCTCCTGCCATCGGATCAGCGCGGTGCGCTGGCTGCAGCGCGCCAGCCGCGGCGGCCATTGGAGGGTGAACCAATGGCAAAGGAAGACCTTTCTCTCTGTCTCTCTCTCTCACTGTCCACTCTGCCTTCAAAAAAAAAAAAAAAAAAAGACTGGAGATAATGACTTTTCTTTTTTACATTTGAACAGTACCTGCCGCCCCTGCGTTTGATGTGTGTTCTCAGAACCAGTCTGACTCAGCCCGATCACATGTTCAGACCGCTCCTCTTCATAGAAATCAGTTTTCAATAGAAAAATTTAAATGCAAATGTATAATTCATAGGCTGAATTAGAATTTAAGATGATTTCATTACTACTAAATGGGCAATGGCACTTTCGTAACTCTAAACAGTAGATTTGCTCTGTGTGCAGACATGGGCAACCCCTCACAACAGGCAAGGAAGCTCAACTCCTTGAAACACAAGTAAGTTTCAGATTCGGTTTCAGACTGCCATCCCTGGAGCAGGCTGTGTGACATGGTAGTCAGGCATTGCCCTGGGCCCTCCGAGTCCCGCATGGGAGTGCAGGTTGTGTCCGTGCTGCATGGCTTCCAGTCCAGCTTCCTGCTAGTGTTCCTGGGAGGCCGCAGACGATGGCTCCAGTGCTTGGGCCCCGCTACCCACGTGGGAGACTCCTCGCTTCTGTGGTCATCTGGGGAGTGACCAGTGGACAGGGGAGCTCTCCTGGGAGTGACCAGTGTACGGGGGAGCTCTCCTGGGGGTGATCCAGTGGATGGGGGAGCTCTCCCGGGAGTGACCAGTGGACGGGGGAGCTCTCCTGGGAGTGACCAGTGGCCCAACCATGCCCCTCTTATCTCTGATTCTCTATTGCTTGGCCTTTCAAGAACATGAAAATAAACATACTTTTTTTTAAAAAAAAAGATGTGTTTTTTGGTAAAATTTTTAATAAATTCTTGAGATTGGTCTGGTGGAAGGATTATTTTTCACCATATTTACATTGTGTATGGTGGGCATTGGGGACAGAACCAGCATATTGGAAGATCTCTCTCTCTTGTTGACATTATGTGATTAAAATAAGAGCACCATGGGGCTGATACACACCGTTTTTCAAAGGGAATTGAAGGACTCACACGATGTTGTTTCAAAACCCAACTGTCGGGGCCAGTGTTGTGTGCCGGTGGGTCAGCCACACATGGGGCGCTGGCATCCCCTCTGTGTGTCAGTTTGTGTCCTGGCTGCTCCACTTCTAACCCAGTTCCCTGCTAATGTGCCTGGGCCCCTGCACCCAGGTAGGAAACCTGGATACAATTCCAGGATCCTGGCTTCCGTCTGCCTGAGCCCTGGCCATTGAGGCCATTTGGGGAGTAAACCAGTGGATCTTTCTCTCTGCATCTTGCCCTCTCTCTGTAACTCTTTCAAACACATGAATAAATATATAAAAAAATAAATTTGACAATTGTTATGCACTGTTTGGAAAGCAAATGAAAAACCTTTCTGGCCGTGACATTAGTTGAAAATCTACTTATTGGTTATATGTTATTGAAAAGATTTCAATTGTTGAGACTTGAAGATTTAAATAAAATAAAATTGAATTGCTGATCAAACTGGGGGTGGCTTTTGCCAAGATTTCCTGACCCTCAGCTGCCCTTCTGTGGTGAGAAGGGGTCACAGCAGTTCCTGGCTCCCTGCTGGGGTTGGGGGCAGGACCCCTGCCTGGGGGCCCACTGCCTGCCCACCGCATCTCACCACCCTTCAACCTGAAACTACTTTTAGAAAATTCTCCTGGGCCCTCCACTGACCCTCAGCAGGAAGTAGACACAACCTCTACAACCCTGCTGTGCCATGGCCACCCAGCGGCTTGCTTGTCACCAGTCCCGTGTGTCTGCCTGGGTCAGAGGACAATGTCGGTGTAGTTCCAGGCTCCTGCCACCCTCCCCACGATGCCCAGGGCTCTGTCCCTGCTGCGTCTGTTCCTGCCCTGCCCTCACGCTGGACCCACCCGACCAGCCCTGGGGTTTTTTGGAGTTGGGGGTGATGGCTGGAAGAGGGATTTGTAGGGGGCCATTGAGATGCTGGGAGAGACTATAGGAGAACAGGGGGCGATCTGTCAGATGCGGGGGTAGTGAGTGAGAAAAGAGAAAATGGGGTTTGTTCGCAGTCCCCTTGGAGAGCGATGTGGCCACTGGTGCAGGTGAGAGGGAGCCGTCACACTTCTCGGACTGTTCCCTAGAGGGGCTCTCGCACAGGTGCACTGGACGCGCGTCCAAGGACACGGTGGAAGCACTGTCTAACCACAGGAGATGAGCCCTGCTCTCAGGGGGAGGAGAGAGAACTGGTAGTGTCCTACAAGGGGCACAAACCTGCAGCCATGGGCCAGGGACAGGGAGAGACCCCGGATGCCTAAGAGACAGGGAAGACGCAGGTTGCGGGACAACCCACTCCGCGTGAAGCCAGGCTCGGTTTTTCAAACTAGAACAGCCCAGTGTTTCGTTAGTGGGTGTTTGCACATGTGGTCAACAGGCAGCGGTGTGGAGGGGAAGGACCAACTCCAAACCCGTCCCACCCATGAGGCTAGCGTAGGTCCACGCCACCGTGGCACACCGCTCCTAATGTCTCCACGGTGGTAACAGCGGAGTCTGTGTCCTGTGTCTTGGCTGGGCTGCTCTGCTCTCCTCACTGGGGCCAGCCTGCTCAGCAGCCGGCAGATGCCACGGCAGAGAGAACGAGGGCTTGCAGACTGGCCTGTCTCTCCAAGCCAACTCCACACCCATGTGTAGGGGGCGGGCAGGAGCTAGCCAATAGACGCCTACAAGTAGAAGTGCAGTCCTGTCCCCTGTGGTGAGGCCCCCTGGAAAGAGCACACGGAGACTCCACTGTAACTGTTATTGTCAAATATGAAACCTTGGGCCGGCACCGTGGCTCACTTGGTTAATCCTCCACCTTGCGGCGCTGGCATCCCATATGGGAGCCGAGTCTAGTCCCAGTTGCTCCTCTTCCAGTCCAGCTCTCTGCTGTGGCCTAGGAAGGCAGTGGAGGATGGCCCAAGTGCTTGGGCCTTGCATCCACATGGGAGACCAGGAAGAAGCACCTGGCTCCTGGCTTCAGATCGGCGCAGTGCTGGCTGTAGCAGCCATTTGGGGAGTGAACCAACGGAAGGAAGACCTTTCTCTCTGTCTCTCTCACTGTCTAACTCTGCCTGTCAAAAATAAATAAATAAATAAATAAATAAATAAAAAATATGAAACCTCTACCCCAGTTTCTCCTCAGACGGAATAAATCTTTAGCCTTTTAAAAATATGAAACCAAAGTGTAAAATTTGCTAATTTTGAAGGGCAGATGCCTACCTAAGTATATGCTATAATTTTCCACGTTGTCTCTTTCAACAGAGTGATTTTCATTCCGATTTTTTATTAAGTTTACTTGTAAGGGCGAGAGACAGAGGAAAGCCCCTATCCACTGGTTCACTCCTCAAATACCCACAGCGGCTGGGGCTCGGCCGGGAGCCAGGGGTACAACCCAGGTCTCCCAGGCAGGCGGCAGAAACTCAATTTCTGCCCCAGTGTTGTCACTCCTAGGGTCTGCATTTGCAGGAAACTGGGGTCAGGAGCCAGAGCTGGCACTGAAACCCAGGTACTCAGGTGTAGACGCGGGTTTATTAATCACTAGACTAAACACCTGCTCTCCTGAAAGCTTGCTTTTTAAATTTTTATGCATTTATTTACTTATGAAAGGTAGAATGACAGGAAAAGACAAACACACGCACACACAGATCTTCGATCTGCTGGCTAAACCTCCAAACGCCTGCCACAGCTGGGCCAGGACGAAGCCAGGAGCCAGAAACTCCACCTGGGAGTTGCAGAGGTCCGAGTGCTTGGGCAGTCTTGCAGTGAGCGGGATTCAAAGCAGTGCAGCTGGGACAAGCTGGCACTCAGACATGGGATGCGGGTGGCGCACTCCCTGACTCGACCCACTGCACCAGAATCCGGCTCCAGCATTGCACTGTTTAAAGGAACAGTGGAACCCACTAATTCTGACAGTGACTGATGCGCCCACCAGGGACGGGGCCGTGTGTGTTTCTTCCGCCCGCACAGCAGAGGGCGCTCTGGCCTCCATGAGCGCTGGCCAGGCCGGGCTGTGTGCAGCCCTGCCCGCGTCCCTGTTCCTGTGCGTGGCCCCACGCCCTGCAGCCCAGGGTCTCCCTGTCACCTCTCACCTCTGGACTCCCAGCCTGGAGCCTGCCATGGGGAGGCACCCGTCCGTGTTCGCTGGATGCCTCCACCATGCTCACTTCTCTCTAAACAATGAACCACTTCCGAGCCAGACCCACCTGCCCTCTCTCTCAGAGCCCCCTCTGAAGTAAGGAATGAATGATACTGAGTGAACAAATGACCACAGCCCTCCTCCTGCCAGTCAGTGGAGGCAGGAACACCTGATCCTTCCCACTGTCCCGTGAGCCTCCGAGAGAGGCTCAGCCACTGCAGGTGTCACTCACTGTGTTAGGTCTGCATGGAGATGCCGCTGCTCTCTGTGGGGCTCTACCCCAGGGTGACCTACTTGTCCCAGATTTCCTGGTTCTGCCTCAGTTTCCACACTGGAAGTCCAGGGCCTGAACCCCCAGCCCCAGGCACACCAAGAGGGTCAGTCTCCCCATCACACTCCTTCTTCTCCTAGGGCCGCGTGTTGTCCTGGTGCTCCCAGGAGAGGGGGCTCTGGTCTCGTCTGCAAATCAGCTCTCACCAGGACCTGGCCGGGGGGAAGTCACTGATGGACACAGATCCACTTGAGACTTGAGAGAGCTCTTTATTCTTTACACAGGACGTGGGGTCAGCACGGGTAGCCGGGCCTTGGTTCTAGTGGCTTGCAATGGTCTGGGAAAAGACAGAACAGTGGAGTGAGGGTCACAGGTTCTGGAGTCAGTGGAACTGGGGCAGCTCCCAGCCCCCACTCACTCTCCATGTGGCCCTGGGGGAGTCACTTGCCCTCTCCAATGGGAGTGGTGATCCCAGCACTCAGCCTGTAGGGTCCTGATTAAACCATAACCAAGGCCCCATCCCAGTCCTGGTGCTCATCTGCCCAGTCTATACGGTGCTCACTGCGGTCACCATGGACAACCCTGACCCTCTCTGACCAGCTGTCCCCAGATGACACTAAGGGGCTCAGCTTCCCCTGGCTCTCCCAGCCTTCACCATTATGGCTCACTTCCCTTCTCCCCCAGCAGGGGGCGCCGTGGCCCTCTTTGCTCTGTGACAAGTAAGGACCTGACCAGAGCACAGCCCTGAGAAGTCCTCCTGAGTCAGGAGGTGCAAACTCCACCCAGAGCCTGCGGATTCCTGGGGCCACGCAGAGCAGAGGGCATCCCCCTGTCCTCTGCCATGTCCCCAAGGCCCCACCCCCTGCCCTCCCAGGACCCCTGCAGCCCCTCCCAGGATGTGCCCCTCCTCCCTGTGCCCCAGCCCTCTCAGGACATCCCCCACCCTGCAGCCCTCCTGGCTGCCCTGTCCTCACCTCCTCGATCCAGTCAATGAAGGCCGACACTCGGGTGAACACCGTGGGCTTCCTCTCAGTGTTGCAGCCGCGGGAGGAGGCGAAGCTGGTCACGCCGTGCACCTGCCAGGAGCCATCTGCCGCGGGGCAGTTGAGGGGTCCTCCAGAGTCACCCTGTGAATAACAAAGAAACTGTGGGGAGGGCGAACCTAGTTGGGAGGAAGCCCCGGGAGACGCCGGCTCCCACTGCCGGTGGCGCAGTCACTCATGGATGTGACGCTCATGCGTGCCTCTGACACAGGGGCTCAGGGTCCCTTCAGAACACAGTGTGGGTGACGTGGGAGGTCCTGGTACCAGTGCCCCCTGCTGTGCTGCTGGGGCCTCAGGAGGGATGGCGGCTGCCCCAGGTCAGGTGAGCCTGGAGCCGGGGTCATGGTCAGGGCTGTCTGCATGGTGCTGACTTCCCCCATGCCCTGCCTGGATGGAGACAGCCCCTCCACCTCCACGTGCCGGCTGTGGGGGTCCCATGGCCTCGCCCACCCGGGGCAGGTGAGAGCCTACTCACGTTGCAGGCAGAGACGTCGCCTCCGCCGGCGCACACCATGCTCCTCCTCACGAGTAAACCCCACCAGGTCAGCCGTGCGCAGTGTGCGTGGTCCACCACGGGCAGAGGCGCCTGCTGTAGCTTGTTCGGGAGTGACCCGCCGGCTGCAGCGATGGAGAGGGGGAGCTGGGGCGCTCCCGGCCTGGTGGGGTCTCTGCTCCCAGCAGTTCCCCCGCCCTCATACCCTGTGCACCTCTACATCCCAGGCCCCTGCACGACGCTCACTCGGACACACCGCGCTTGAGAGGCTGGCAAGGAGAAAGGACCAAAGCCCAGGCCTGGCGTGGCCATGTGTCCCCGGCCCCCAGGACCTGCTCCCTCGCCCCTCAGTACATACTGGAGGTGGTGCCCCAGCCGGTGACGTAGCATTCCGTCCCATGGGCCAGGATGTCCCCAGCAGGAGGGAGCTGGGCGGGCTGCACTTTGGCTGTCAGCTGTGCGCTGCGCGACAGCTTGATGAGGGTGATGTCATTGCTGTGGGGAGGGAGGAGTCACGCGAGCCTGGGCCTCCAGGTGCACCAGGTGCCACGCCAGTCCTCTGTCCGGGAGTTTCTCTCTGGGAGACCCCCACTGCTCCTCTGCACCCTGAGGTGCTTCCTGTCCCGTTCAACCCTGCCAGCCCTTGACCTTCCTGGTTGTCCTGTGTCCCCTGTGGCCCTCGCACTGCAGCTCCCTGGGGGGCTGTGACCGCAGTAGGAGGGCGGGCGTTTGGCACCATGCTTAGGGCTGCATCCCACACCCAGGCAGGGCATCACGGCCCATCCTGGCTCCTGCCCCCGTGCCTGCTGGGGTATTGAGTGACAGTGACGGGGTCAAGTGCCAGGGTCAGCCCCTGACTTGGGAGATCCAGACTGAGCTCTGGCCCCCTGGCTTTGGCTGGATGAAGGCTTTTGGGGAGGGAACCAGATGAGTGATCTCTCCCTCTCTCTTTCTTTAGTCAATAAAAACAGGTAAGTAAAAAAATGTTTGAAACAAACACAGAGTAGAGAGCTTGCTGAGGCTTTCTAAGGCCGTGTTCTGTCTGAGGCCCGAGGTCTGACGTTCTAACAGGGTCCCAGGGGATGCTGCTGCCGCTGCCCCTCAGACCACACCTTGGGCACCACGGCTCTGCTGCTGTCACCCGGGACATTTCGCCTGGGTCTCCCTGGTCTCCCTAAGGCCCCAGGAGCCCTGCCAGGACGGGCCGGGGTCTCCATCACGGTGGCCCCTCCCTCCTGCACTGTGGTTCCCAGGGTTCCACCCCCTCCTGTGCTCCTCTCTCAGAAAAGGCGGAGCCTCGCGGACACACAGGTGAGCACACAGTGAGGCTGAGCGGGGGGCCTCCCTGCCCGTCACCACCACCAGGAAGCCCTGCTGCAGGTCACCCTCTGACCAAGGGGAAACTGAGGCCCAGGCCACTCAGGGAGTGACTGCTGGGGCTGACTTCTCCGCCCCGTGCTCCTCCTTCATCCCCATGGCCGGGAACCCAGCTGTGCCGGATGGACCTCTGCTGACCACAGGAAACCTTGGACTTGGGGCAGGTGCCCGAGGGGTCCTGGGCTGCAGAGCCACGGAGCCCAGCAGCTGTGGGGGCTCTCCCTGGTGCTGCTGTCCCCTCTGCAGGGAGGGAGGTTGGTGCTGAGGGTCTCTGAGGCTCTGACAAGTGTGTGGGGGCTGGGCTCAGGCTGCTCACCCTCCCCGCTGTCCCTGGGAGTCCCCTGGGATTCATGGAGGGATGAGCACAGGAGCCCGGGCCCGGCTGGGGGCTCACTCACCCGCAGGGTGCACAGTAGGACTTCCATCGCGGGTGCACGAAGATGTCCCCAGCATTGATGGGGATCACCTGCTCAGGTCCCTCCGTGACTGCCCGGTCGTACTCGCCCAGCACCACCCGGTATGTCTGGGAGCTCCTGCCGGCAGACGAGAGGTCACTCGGGGCCTGACTTCAACCTCCGTAGCCTCCGGCTGGCCTGAGCTGCCCGGGTCTCACACGGGGACAGTGACCGGGGCAGGGATGGGGGCAGTAGAGGACTCACGAGATGCAGTGGCTGGCAGTGATAACCCAGTCAGGGCTGATGAGGGTCCCGCCACAGGTGTGGTACCAGGCCCCACTCACCTCGTACTGCAGGGAGACCTGGTGCCCAGAAAGAAACAGGTTGAGAGGTCCAGCCCACAGTGAGGTTGTGGTGTAGACTGTGCACTGCACAACTTGAGAGGGCGCCATTCACACAGAAAAGGACAGCCCCTTCTCAATCGGGCAGTGCACAACCTAGACCACTGTTCATGGCGCTGCACTACTTTTCCTATGGAATCACACGTGGTTACCCTGTCTCCCCATCCTAGGTCCTGTTGTGCAACTCACTGAATGCAAAAATGAGGCCCTCAAACTCTGCCTTCCTAAACACAGCACCTGAATTTCTAAATGCACCAGCCCCTTGAGTTCCGCCCTTCCATGTCCCCAGCGCCTGCTTCTCTTTGGCATTTTGTAGTTGGGACCGGAAAAACCTCCGTGGGAAGTGGGCAGTTCCAGGGCTCCTGGCCCTGGGCAGCTGCAGTGGGGACAGGGTCAAGGCCGGAGGCCTTGCGGTCAGAACCTGGCATCCAGCGCCCAGCGTGGGAATCAGAGCCGCTGGCACCGCTCTCACCTGCCAGGGCCAGCTAGCTGTAGGGGACCGCGTCCTCACCGTTGACCACGCGGCTGGAGGGGGGGGAAGGTTGGCCAGAGCCCAAGGCTGGAGAGGAGAGAGAGGAGAGGAGGGGCATCAGTCACCCAGGGTCCCCAGCAGGAAAGGGGGGCAGGTCCCAGCCCTGGCTCTGCCACAAACGGGCTGTGTGAGCCGTGCAAGCCCCTTTCCCTCTCTGACCCTCGGTAGCCGCCTATGAACAGTGAGCACTGGGACTACCGCAGGGCTTCCCAGAGCCCCAGGAGTCCACAGACGGAGATGACAAAGCCACGTCCATCAGTGGGAGGACCAAGGAGGCAGATGCCTAAACAGTGCCTGACCCCAGCGAGCCCTCCTGGGCTGCGGGCTGCTGTCGCCGAGCGGAGGCTCGCAGTGGGCATGGGTGCCCCGTAGGACGCCGATACCCACACCCCACACTGAGGTCCCTGGGCTTGAGTTGAGGCTCCATTCCAGATTCCAACTTCCTGTTAATGTGCACCCCAGGAGGCTATGGGGATGGCCCAAGTTCCTGGGTCCCTCCATCCAATGGCTCCTGGCTGCTGGAGGCATTTGGGGATGGGATGGGAGGATGGGAGGCATCCGTATCAGTCGGTCCGTGTCTGTCTCTACCTTTTAAGGAAAAGATGTGAATAAAGGTTTTTGAAAGGAGAGGAGGCTTTGGAGTAAGACCGTTTGGACCCCTTGTTCTGGGATGAGCCATTGTACTTCTCTGAGGGTCAGTTTCCCCATGCGTAAAATTGAATAATAACAGAGCTGACATCACGAGCCGTCATGAGAATTACATGAGATCATATAAGGAAAAAAACATTGGCCGGCGCCGCGGCTCACTAGGCTAATCCTCCGCCTTGGCACCGGCACCCCGGGTTCTAGTCCCAGTCGGGGCACCAGATTCTGTCCCAGTTGCTCCTCTTCCAGTCCAGCTCTCTGCTGTGGCCCAAGTCCTCGGGCCCTGCACCCGCATGGGAGACCAGGAGAAGCACCTGGCTCCTGGCTTCAGATCAGTGCGGTGCGCTGGCCGCAGCGGCCATTACGGGGTGAACCAACAGAAAAGGAAGACCTTTCTCTCTCTTTCTCTCACTGTCCACTTTGCCTGTCAAAAAAAAATTAAAACAAAAACAAAAACAAAAACGTTGACATTCTGCCTGGTATACAGTAAGCACTGGGTAAATGTTGTTTGTTCCCATCACTGTCAGTCAGGGGAGGCTGCTCAGAGGAGGTGGCCCTGAGCTGCAAGGTAAAGTGCCAGAGAGGCCAGGACAAGGCTGGGCCACAGGCTACGGGAGCTGGGTGGGGGGAGTGTGAGTGGGGAACCGGAGTGTTCAGCAGGGAGTGGAAATCCCACCCCACGCGGGCTAAGTGCAGAGCCAGACTCCTCACCACTCAGCTGTGTCTGCTGCCCCACCATGGATGCCCTCCTTGTCCCTTGGTGCTGCTCCTGGCCCTTCTCCTGAGCTGGTCTCTCTCCTGCTTCCCTCCTCTCTGCTTCCCAGCACCAGCTGAAAACCAGCGCTGTCATGCCCCAGGGACGAGCTGAGACCCCTCCTATGGGGACAGGGGCTGGGACCCCGGCACCAGGGTGGGGAGCAGATCTCAGGGCTCCTGGCCCAGGCAGTGCAGGGCACAGACCGGGCTGCGTTCTTACCAAGGGCCACCAGCAGGAGGGCGCTCAGCAGCCGGAGCATTTCGTCTCGTCTTGACAGGAGCGGACACAGAGCCTGGGCTCTAATATAGGGCAGAGGTGGGCAGCAGGGGCTGGACTGGGCCCCAGGCCCGGCACAGGTGGTGGAACACCAGGCCTCACAGGGCCCAAGGCCACAGCCCCGCCCACTGCAGGATGGAAAGTTGGCGTCAGAACTCGCCACCTCCTTCAGGAAAGAACACGGGCACGGGAGCCATCAGCCCTGGATTCCCACCCTGCCCGGGCCGCCTCCAGGCCTTGAGCGCGTGCATTCACCTCTGAGTCTCAGGCTCCCCATGGCTGATGTGGGACGAATATTCATACTCATTGAGCATCATTTTGTTTAATTATTATTATATTATTATTATTATTAGCACTTATTTAGTTTCCTGCTGAAATAAGATGTTTTTAACTTTTTATTTGCTTAATTCTTTATTGAGTTGAGCATTTGCCTTTGAATAGAATACAAATTAAAAATGTCACCTCAAAAATAATAAAATATTAAAGTAAAAAAGAAAAAGCATAAATAGGTCATAAGTCTTGAGCAATGTGCCTATATATACATATGTGTGTATATATCTATACATATATATATAAATATATATATCCGTATCCACCTCTGTCCAGAGATCTTATTGAGCACCTGCTCCATGGAGCCCCAGGCACTGCTCCAGGGGCCACAGCTAAGCACAATACGTGGCCCCCACCCTCTCGGAGTTTCAGTCTAGTGGGGAGATAATGAAAAATCAACCAAGTCAACAAGGCTGTGTTCGGTCTGGGGTGACTGGTGGGGATGGGAGGGACTCTTGTTGGACTGAAGGGGCAGCAGCACTTGACTGAGTCCAAAAGTTAAAGATAAAAGTCAGCGGGGGTGGGGGGCAGGGTTCGCACAGTGGCTAAGACACCACTTGTGACACCTGCACCCCAGACTGGAAGGCCTGGGGTCAAGTTCTCGCTTGGCTCCTGAGTCCTCTTTCCTGCTAATGGGCACCTCGAGAGAGAGCAGATGATGGCTTACATACTTGGGTCTGTTGCATGCAGTTGGGCAACTGAACCAGTGCATGGAAGAGTTCTCTCTCGCTCTATCCCGTTCTCTTTGCCTTTCAAATAAAATGGAAACAAGTGTTTGAGAAATGCCAGCCAAGGGAAGCCGTGCAGGAAGCCCTCCAGGGGGAAGGGGAGGCAAGGGCAAAGCTCCGGAGGCTGGGATGCGCTTGGTCTGCTCAAGAGAAGGAGCCCAGGGCGCTCGGGGCTTAGGAGGGGGCTGAGGCCAAAGCAGAGGTCACTCCTGGAGCTGGACTCAGGCTGACGCCACAGGCCCCTCCTCGGTCACAGCTCTTGTACCTGCGCCTGAAGGAACACAGAGGACCGTTCAGAGCACACACACCCCCCCAAGTCCGGACTAGCCGGGAGAGGGAGCAACCCAGACACCCACCGCAGTGAGTGGATGTGCATGTGCAGGACGCTCACACGGTAGGAGGTGACTCAGCTGCTGTGCCCTCTGGAGTCACTTCCTAGGACGTAAACAGAAAAGGTAGGGTCCAGAAGAGTATATGCAATTTAATACCTTAGAAAAAATGGGGTTATTTATTTGAAAGGCCGAGAGACACAGACACAAAGAACTCCCCGAATGCCAGTTAAGTGCTGATGCTGAGTGAGGAGGAAGCTTGGAGCCTGGACTTGACTGGGGTCTCCCATGCGGGGTGGAGGGACTCAAGCCGTCACTCGCCACCTCCCAGAGGCAGGAGTCTGGGACTGGAAGCCAAGCTGGGACTTGGGCTCTGGCACTCTGATGCGGGCTGCAGGCGTCCCCAGAGGCGGCTGCTGTGGCCAGTGTTCACACACTCGCCCTGTTTAACTTGAGGGCAGAGGGCAGAGGGCAGAGGGGGACAGAGAAAGCTTCCGTCCACTGTTTGATCCCCAGACGCCCGTAGGACTGAGGCTGGTGGGGGGGACTGCAGCCCGGAATCCACTCAGGTCTCCTGCATGGGCTACAGGGACCCCATCACCTGAGCCGTCCACACAGCCTCCCAGGCTCTGCATTGGCTGGGAGCTGGCGTCGGGGACCTGATCTGAGGACGAGGTCCAGGCGTTCGGGTGTATGGTGATTGGGTCAGACAGCCGCCATCCGCTGTCATAACGTCATTTTTAAGAATTTAAAATGATGGAAATGTTAAGGTTTACTTGTTAAGGACTATACATGGGCAGACAGCACTGCATGAAAAGGAACGCAAAGGCCTAATTAGCATATGAAGCAGGTGGAGTTGGCGCAAGTCTGGGACGGGGTAGATTACCCTGATTAGCATATGACCCGGATGATGGTTGGTGCAAGTCTGGGACGGGGTAGATTACGTGTTGCCAGAGGCTCTCGCTTTGCTCTTTTTTTTTTTTTTTTTTAAGATTTATTTATTTATTTATTTATTTGAAAGTCAGAGTTACACAGAGAGAGAAGGAGATGCAGAGAGAGAGAGAGAGAGAGAGAGGTCTTCTATCCATTGGTTGACTCCCCATTTGGCCGCAATGGCTGGAACTGTGCTGATCCGAAACCAGGAGCCAGGAGCTTCTTCTGGGTCTCCCACACGGGTGCAGGGGCCCAAGGACTTGCACCAACTTCTACTGCTTTCGCAGGCCATCAGCAGAGAGCTAGACTGCAAGTGGAGAAGCCAAGGACTCGAACCAGTGCCCATATGGGATGCCGGCACTGCAGGCAGCAGCTTTACCCGCTACACCACAGTGCTGGCCCCTGTTTGTCTTTTTTGAAGGTTAACTTACATAGAACAAAAATTGACCTGCATTCAGTTAAAAACTCAGATAAGTTTTAAAATTCACCACCACCATAACCAGGCTACAGACATCAGCATTCTCCAGACTCCCCCTCCTGCCTTGTCTCCGTCTGATTCCCACTCCTGGCCCTGGCCAGCTCCAGGGAGGGTCCTGCCTCTCCCAGGCTGGAACCACACAGTAGGAACTTTTTGTTTTGGGGCATTTCTCATTGAGGACAACGCTTCTGAGATCCATCCCTGTCCTTGTATGACACGTGGTCTGGAAGGTTCCGATGGCATTACTGAAAACCACTATGATTCTCGGTAGCATTGGCCAGGAGTAAACTAAATGATACCAGTTCAGGTGCTGAGGATGAGACGGGGTCAGCGGATGAAGACTGTGGCTAACCCAGTCCTGCTACCTGAAATGAGAATTTAAAGGCAGCAAAAGGGCCGGCGTTGTGGCGTAGCAGGTAA